GTGGTGGCGCTTTTTAGTGTCTGGTTTTGTAGTGAAAGCAAGATGGGAGGGTGATATTACACCTGGAACGAAACGGCTAATTGTCACCCGTCCTTGTGAAACCCCAAAAGAAATTACTTAAAAGAGTTAGTGGAAGAAAATTGGCTCAGTCGTTTATTACATAGAGCAGCCTGGGTGCAACTGGGGAGGCACCTTTGTTAGATAGCGAGTTGGACGGGACTAGTGGTTTTCATGGGCATTGATCTGCACCAGTGGTGTTATTTTTGTGTTTTGTGTTAGAGGGGTTAGTATGTGATAGTCTTATTGCACAGTGGCATTTGGTTGCTCTTTCCAGGTGTGGAGAATGTGTTAATTGCTTTTGTTGGTGTAGTGAACTGACAGAACTTCTAAAGGTGTTTTTAGGAATGTGGCATTCCACCTTTTCATAGTGGGAAAGGCAGGATGAAAGCTTGGTTAGTGGTTGGGCTGCTGGCTTTGTCCTCTGGAGGCCTTATGGTTTTACCACAAACTCCCGGCGTTATAATTATAACTTTAGACAGTTAATTCTGATAAACTTTGCATGTGTCACAGCGTTGTCTCTCTTGATCTTCTGTCTAGTCAACACAGAGACTTAAGTTCTTGTGGAAGGATGTTCATAGGCAGAGGCTCAGTCAGGTGTTGCAGTCGAGTATTGTTCCAGAACCCAGAGTTGCCCCCCAGCTCTCTTCCCTGGTGATAGTAACAACACTGGGGAGTTCTAGAAGTATTGGAATTATTTATACTATGTATTCACAATAGTCAGAGTCATGTGCTAGAGCGGAGCCTCCGTACTGGTTCTCTGAGCTGCTGAACTGCAGCTTTGGCTGTGATGTATGTGCTTTGTATAGGTTAGTTTGGTACTTCGGTATGTTGCTAAAGTGGGATCCCAAGGAAGAAAATGTAAAGGAAACTTTTGGGGATAATATGTGTAATGCAGGAAAAGTACAGATGTTTCAAGTTATAAAAGTACCACTTTATAGATGAAAATAGGTGGTGTTTGGAAAATAATACAGGAGTTAGTAGTACTTAAGAACAGTGATCTCTGAATTGCTAGGATGTTGATAAATCCCCATGATTCGATGCTATTTGAAAGCAGTTGCTGAGCTTCCCCTTGAAATAAGTTCAAAAGAAACCACCTTGAAGAGATCTATTGCCTTGATATCTGTCCAGGGATAATCTAGAATTTGCAATGTTTTAATACCTCATATTAAAGTCTGAAATTATCTACCTTATTTAGTATTATTTTTCAGTTTATGTACATCTCTTCATTGCCTGTGTTGTGAAATCTTTGTGGAGTGGTTATCTAGTTTTGACTCCGTGGGTGCCAAGACAGGCTCATAATTATTTTAAGAGAATACTTGTAAAGAAGAGAAAAGAGGTTTTAAACATTTCAAGAGATGGTGTCAACTTGCAGACTTTTCAGTGCAGAAGTCGTTTGCTCTAGTTCTTTCTTCCCATGTGGATTGTGTGTGTTTCTTTGCTGTGTGGGGGAAAACACCTATTTGGAATATAAGTTAATTGACTGTGATGGAGGGCTGGTAGCTACAAGGAAAAAGACATTCAGTTGCACAATATTTTGTGGTTTGTTTTTTTTTTTTGCATGAAATGATTGTAATATTTGTCAGAAAACAACAATCCTTAGTCTTCTGTCATCTGGTTGCAACAGCATGTACCTATTATGGTAAACAAGTGATACAGAAAAAAAAATATTCTGAAGTAAGTATCTAGTGTAGTAGCAATTTTGTTTTCCTGCTGTTTCAGCTGAGAACAATTGATAAGTTGTCTAGTTTTTTTTTTAAACTAAACACTGTCTTAAGGGTATATCAAGGGCATTCTTTGCATCTCCTAAGTGTTGATGATCTACACCTACTTGTGTATTTGCAAGTCTAGTGATTATGTTCTTTAAACCATGCTTATATTTCAAAACCAGTAAACGTGACCTCTTTCTTTTCCACTCTTCCAAGCTTTTTGAGTTTCTAATCTGTCATGAATACTTAAACTTTCTTTTTTCTTTACATAGATATATTGGCTAACACTGTGGCCTTGATGCTAAGTTCACATGGTTTATTATGATGTCTTCAGTTAAAAGGCAGTGTACAAGATGGGCGTATCCATGTCAGGATTTGGAATGGAGATGTGTTTAGACAATTTAAACAAACTTAAGTAGTTGTTTGCTTGTTTGTTTTCCCACCCAGGCTACCGTTCCTCTGAGTCACCTTATCAATGCCTTTCATTCACCAAAAAGCTCCACCACAGCTGCCAGCACAGCATCTGCACAGCCTGTCCAGAGGGACACCTCCCCAGAGCATGATCCTCAGAAGAGTGAGGTACTGAAAAGGATTTGGAAAAAGTGGCAGTTTGCTTTTAGCTGAATTCAATCTGAATAATATGAGTTAGACTAGCCACATTTGTTTTATAAAACAAAACTTAACAGAATGTTAGCTCGTAGAGTGTAACTTTTGGACAGAACTTCAGTCAGTGGGTGCTTTGGCAGTAAGGATTCTACAAAAATACAGTATTTTGTTAATAAGGAGAAAAAGCTAGTACTTGTCTCACTAGTCATTTGCAAATGAGGAGGGGATTTGCTTTCTTTTTTGAATTTAATGTTTCGTGTTCTAAAGTAACAATAGCTTTCCCATTAAATCACTTACTGTCTTTTCACTCTCTGAGTTCTAACAAAGTTTATTTCGTTATTCCTTGTAAGAAGATGGACTGTAACTTAAAGTGTGTTGAGGGGTTTTGAGAGATTCAACAGCGTATTTCCCGGTTTCTAATTTTTCTGTTAAAATATATGTCACTAGGTATTTTTTGTTCTTTGCATTGAAAACCTATACACAGAAAGTGCTAAGTAGTATTAGATCTTGCCACTTCTCTTTCAACTGATTTCTTGAAAGTTTTACAACTAAGAAAATGTTTGAGAGGAAAAATATGGACTCTCCTAGCTGCAGAAATTTGGAAATCAACATGGATTGTACTAGTCCGCCTTGTCTTGTGGTTCCATTGTTGGTTTGTTTAGAGGGGTTTTTTTGTGATTCTTTATTTGCTTCTGATGTTAAAAATTTATTTCAGTAGATGACCTGATTATTGAATGAATATAAGTGTGTTGCATTTATTCAGTTCTATGTTTGTCTTTCTTCTCAGTAAGAGAATCTGGTCTCCTTTAAATACAGAGTTTTTTTCACCTTGATACTTTTCACTAATTCATCACACACCTGTTTTGCTTCCTTCTAGCATCGTAAAACTGTAAAAATAATAATTTAAAAAATCTCTCTTAAGGTAATTTTAAAGAAAGTTCTTAAAGCAAGTTGATTAGACTATCACAAACCTCAGCTTAAATGAAGATTAAGCTCAAATTTAAAATCAGCAAATACTGACATTATTCAATATGAGAACTGCATGTATTAAGTTGAACTATTAAAATGGGGAAAATCATTTGAGAATGTGAAGCCTCTGCTGTGAGGTTAAATTTGTATTTGCAAGTAGTAACATATTTCAAAGGAACAAACAAAATGTTATTTTTTTCTTGTTTTTTTAAAATCTTCTCCCATGCCATAGCATTTGGGTAGTTTTCCAAGCAATTGTTAAGCTGAAGCAGGAAGGCTTAATGTACTCACTTAAACTATGTGTGATAGTCAAATTATGTTTAAAAATGTATTCGTACTTATTTTGAGTGTAAGTGGACAAGAAGCAGTATACCCTAGCTGCTAGGATAGCAAAAGACTGAATTGGGAAGAAAATGTGCTTGTCATAAATATACTATGACAACAAAAATATCAGTGTGTGCAATTGGGAAAGTTATTCTGAATTGGCAGTAGCAAATATTTCTTTAATCATATCCTTTAATTAATTTATCTTCATTTAGAAGTTGGTTTTTTTTATTTCACTCTCATCTGTGAGATGTAGATGCTGTATCAAGCCAGCAAGTTAACCCAATTATTCTTTTTTCCCTAAGGTAATCTGAAGGAAATGTTGTCCCTTTATTTCTGTTTTGCAGTCTGTACTTAATTTGCGAGATTTGGGATTGTCTGATTTGAAAGCTGGCCACTTCAAAGAGCTGGTGAGCAGGTTGCTTCCTGGCTACTGTGCAGAAAACAAAGTCTCTTCACAGTGGCATACGTCGTACATCTCTGCTGAGTCCTTTTTTGAAAATAAGCATGGTATGTTTCAGAGTAAAGGGATAATGGGAATTGATAAGAGATTTTTAAAGGTGAACACAATTACTCTTTACTTTATTCTCTTGTTTTGTAGATGACTCATAGTTTTAAAAATCTCTGTTAGAAAGAGTACTAATTTTTTTTTTACTTGTATATGCATCTTGTCTCTAGAGCTGTGCTTTTAAATCTTGGGAAATTTTGACAATACAGCGTAGATTTTGGAATTGTTTCTTCAAATTCAGATTTGCAGTTGGCTGCTGTTAAACTTGTCTGAACTTGGCTGTAGTACAGATGCATTGTCTCTTAATGATGAGCCCAAGCTATGAGTTTTTTTCACCAGTTTGTTCCACCAAATAGAATCAATTAGATTTTGCTAATCTGCTAATGTAACACAGTTGTGAACATCTCTGGTTTACATTGAGTTATTACTTTTTTATTTGAAGCAACATACGAAAACATTAGAAAGGAATTCAGGGTGGTAAACTGTTAACCATCCATTTAGACTATTTCATTGCTGAAATAAACCAAGAGCAGTTCCTTACAGTTAAAGAAGTTTTGTTTGGATTAGTCTAAAGTACAGGAAGCAAGGCCATGGTAGAGACTCAGAAATGTGTTGGAAAAGGAAGCATCTAGCTGACATTTGAGATACCATCTATGTAGTGTTGAGGTTGGGATAAAGATTGTAAGAATAATATCTCCAGGCTGGAGGAAAAAAAAAACTGCATTGTGATGCGAGATATATTAAAATAAAAAAACTAGCCCAAAGGCAGTTTTCTGAACTGAGGATGAGTTCTTTGCGCTTTCGGTGATTAAACCACAGATAAATGACAGTCCTCTTGTCTTGCAGTCTATAGTGTGCTTGAAGTAGTATCAGGTAATAACTTCTTCACTGTGATGCTCTTTTATTTATGTATTTATTTCTTCTTGTTTCTGTAGTGCACAAGGAATGTACAATGAAGCAGACTTAGCTTAAAATATTTTCATACATTCTACATAGTCTGTTTTAAAATGGCCATGAGTAATATGGTATTTAAAATCTTTGAAACTGAACAATTAGTTGAGTGCTTGTCCTTCAGCTTCATGAAAGTTGTTGGTTTCCTATCCAGTCTGTACTAATGTGCAGAGTTTTCCCTCCTAGACACAGCTTCAAATTCAAGATGCTGGGTACTAATATTTTTTGCAAGTTTTAATTAGAAAATATTCTGGTATATTGCGAAATGCCTGATGGAAGTTAATGCAAAGAAGTTAATGATCTGTTTTAGTGGTAATAGTTAATTTTTTTAATTACAGATGCCTGAAGGACCGTTGTAAAATAGAATTAATACTTAAGAAAGAAAAAGCAACCTATGCAAGATGTAACGTTTAGGTGCCATTTCATATAGGGTGTATTTACACTTTGCTGTGTCTTTTTACAGGTTTCGTGGATGTTTTCAGCGCTTTACGCTCATCTTGTTTGTACAGACAGCATCCTAATCCCCTACAACATTTCTGTTCAGATGTCCGGTCTTGGCCAGGTATAGAATGATAAACTACACTATTTTTATCTCTATAGGATCTTTTATTCTGGGAAGGTATTTCTACTTTTGTCTTTGAGGCATCACTCGGGGAAATACCAGTAAACTTCCAGGAGGAAATTTATATTGATATTAACACCTTAAATAATTGAATTATTTTTGCATTTGTATAGTATGTTTCCATTAGATTAAGTTAGTAAACATGGTGTAACTATAGGTTCAGATATGTCAGTATGCTTAAGAGATGCTTAAAAGCTGACTGCTTTTGAATCGATAAATACATTTAGTCTAGTATTCATCCAGATGAACTAAGGGGTTTGGTGACTGATTTAAACTACTCCTGGATGTATGATGGGTGGCAACAGGGCTGCATTGGCAAAAGCATAATCAGGAGCTCAGGAAGTTCTGGTATTGTCCTCTATTCAGTTCTTCTGACGGTACATACTGTCTGGTTTTGTGTGCCATGGTTGAGAGGGAGATGCTGACAAAATGGAGATGGCCCCGTGATGGGCCACAAGGAAGGATGCAGATTTTTGAGCATTTAACATACAGGGGAAGCTGAAGGATCTGAAGTTTTAAAGTTAGTAGAAGAGAAGGCAAGGAGTGATCTAATTGCTGTTGGAGCCACGTTAGTTGCCCTTCTCTTGTACACCTTCGAGAAGAGGCAAAAATTGCAATTTATTCCTGCTGGAAAATACTCAAAATGAGACTGGCTTAGTTCTGAAAGAGAGTATCTGTAGAGGTTGTGTTATCTTTGTCCTTGGAGACTTTCAAAGCTAAGTTGGGTGAGATCCAGAGCTACCTGATCTGATGTTCAAGTTAGACCTTTTTCGAGCAGGGCTTTGACTAGATCACCTCCGGAAGTACCTTTCTAAGTTAGTAGCGCACCTGGGCTGTTCCAGATCTCTTCAGGGCTGAGCTTTTAAACAAAACTAATCTTAGAGTGGGAACCTTCATTCTCATCCTTCTTCCTAGCTCCTGAACGTTTCATGGTTGTGAGCCTGTCTGGATTTAATTCAACTGTACATCTCTTCTGATCCCCGAGACTGTAGTAGGGTTAGCCAGTGATCTATAATTCACAATGTGAAATCCCAGTTATTTTAACAAAAAATTATATGTGAAGAATATCTTAAGAAACAATAAGAAGCTTGTTTGCAAGTTCAAATTGCAAATGTGGTTCATGACCACATACCTCTCCATCTACAGTACTAAAATTTAGTGATTTATTTTTCCAGTTTATTACTGGTTGATCCAGAGAAGTCTTTCATACAGTTTTCTGGTTGATTTTTTTTATTTATTTATTTTTGGTCAGACACATTAAACAGATTGCAGTTTGCAATTCTTTTCAGTTTCTACTGTGGTTATGTCAGGAAGATTACATTCAGTTCAGTCACAATAGTGTCTTTCATGTAATAGTTTCTGAAGTTTCTTAGGCTTTTTTTATTCTTTGTAGTAGTAGCAGTGGATAGTTTTTAACTTTTTTATTTATTTTTACTGCTTTAAGTTTACGTACAATCACGAAACTTTAAAACTTTGAGATCAAGAGCAAGACGTCTGCAGTCTACATCTGAACAATTCACAGAAACAAGAAATACACTTTCTTCACTTTTGAAGGTAAATACAGATAACATTATGAAGTTGTTTGGGATTTATTCACACTATCTCTTTCTCTTGACTGAACCTCCACAATTTACCAGGGGTGTTCTGTTTCACTAGTGTGAAAAAAATTCTTAATTCTGAAACTTGAGCAAGTGGAAGTGATTGTCCCTCTGTACGCAGCACTGGTGAGGCCGCACCTCGAGTATTGTGTTCAGTTTTGGGCACCTCAGTATAGGAGAGATATCGAGGTGTTGGAGCGAGTGCAGAGGAGGGCAACAAAGCTGGTGAAGGGCCTGGAGAACAGACCTTATGAGCAGCGATTGAGGGAGCTGGGTCTGTTCAGTTTGACGAAGAGGAGACTGAGGGGGGATCTCATCATGCTCTACAGTTTCTTGAAAGGACATTGTAGAGAGGTTTGAGCTGGTCTCTTCTCACAGGTAATTAGGGACAGAACCAGGGGGAATGGTTGCAAGTTGCAACAGGGCAAGTTTAGACTGGACATTAGGAAGAAATTCTTCATGGAAAGAGTGGTCAGACACTGGAACAGACTGCCTAGGGAGGTGGTTGAGTCGCCATCCCTGGATGTGTTCAAGTGTCATTTAGATGGGGTGTTGGGTGATATGGTTTAGGGGTGAACTTGTAGTGTAGGGTCAGTGGTTGGACTCGATGATCCCAAGGGTCTTTTCCAACCTGAATTGTTCTATGATTCTATGATTCTAATAATGATAAACTGTTTTTCTTACTACTACACAGGATTGCTTCACGTGTCATCAATGTAAAAATTATTTGAATTTTTTAGGAGAGTAGTTTCAGAGTATAAAAATAGTTTTAAACTCTAGAAATAAAATTCTTAGTATTTTGGTTTTGTGTCTTTGTGAACTATGGCTTGGAGTCAAATGAAGTATTAAGCAGAAGTACAGCTAGTTTAACATAGAAGAATGTGTATTTTTTCAAGCAATTCAGCATGTGGTTAATGTTTTAAGAATAGACTTGTGGCTACTACATTTTTAAGATACAAAAAATTTAAACTTACTATTTTTATGGGTTACAAACTCACTTCTAATTCAGCAGATAACTATCCAGGCTTGGGGTAGCAAAGCACTTAACAAAGCCAAGTTAACCTAGGTACTCTTTGCTTCTAATTGCTTGTATAGAAATCAGGCTAATTAAAGCATTTCATAAAATGGCCTAATCTGGAAAGGACCTTAGAGATCATTTTAATCCAGCCTCCCTGCTGCCAGGGACGCCACCTCTCAACTAGATCGAGCAACACACGGGGACCGAACGGGGATCGAACCCGCGACCTTAGTGTTGTTAGCGCCATGCTCAACTGACTGAGCTAACATTTGATCTTGCTGTCTGTGTCAATTAGCTTTGAAGTCCCTCCTCCTTCTAGACATATGTGGTTTATTTCATCTGTGGACTTAATGTACCATGGATTAAGACAAACTAGAGCTAGCTCCATGCGGTGCTGCTCTTAAATTTGAAAGGCCATGTGAGATGTGTTTGATCAAGCTCTATCAAGACTATACGTACAAAGATACTTGATTTGGAAGTAATTTAAGTTGATTTCATGAAGCAAAAACCTTAAGCTAATAGCTGCCACTGATTTTAGCCTACAAACCTAGCTGAGAACAAATCTGTCTCAGGCTGAGTTTTCTGTTTGGAACTGGGGTGCAGGAGAGCTCTGTGATCCTGACCTGTTCAGCGAAAATCAGGGTGACCCTACTGGAGTCGTTGTGATTCCACACTTAAGCTATTGCCCTGTATTGTCTAACCCTGTAGCACCTGTATTAAATGCATTTTTAAATTTTTTCCCCCTTACCCATGCTAGCCACATAGTAAGCTAACTGTGTATCAAAACTTAGTGTATGCTAACACTGATGTGGAAAATATTTTAGGGTTTTATCCTGAGAAAGCGAAGAATTGATGTTGAAAACTTAGATACGCTAATGAAAACAAAAAACATCCCTGAGGCACACCAGGAGGCTTTCAAAACTGGTTTTGCAGAAGGCTTTTTGAAAGCACAGGTATTCCTGCAAAAAACACTTGGTAAGTTGTTTTAATTCACGTATTTCATCTTTTTATTCAGAAAGTAGTTTATTTCAGTCTATATTAAAACTTGGTTTTATTTTCTTTTACAGATTCTTTAAGAAGATCACGTTTGCTTTCTTTCTTCCTCTTCGTTCTTTGTTTTTATCTTGCTATATATTCATCATTTTTACCTGGGAAAGGTTCCTTTTCTGATGCTGGTTAGTTAACTTTTTTCACTACACTATTTTACCAGTGTTGTTTCTTCCAACAGGTTTAGCACAAATGTGTTTTGACATTATGATTCTTTTAGGATAACATTTCAGTGTACTAATGAACGAGAAGAGTTATTTACTGCTTTTGGCTATGGAGACAAAGTCGTTTGTTTGTATAATGATTTTAACAGTTGCAGGGAATCAGAGAAGGTCATACAATTTACCCATTATTTATGTGTCTTTGAGTTCAGATGATGGCATTATCTAGGTTAGCAGTAGGCAAAATGGTTTGACTTTTATTTGTAATTGCAGCCTAGGTTATAGCAACTAGGTACTTGCATGACTAAATTGTCATCTTAAGAAATATGTTGGAAGTAGTGGAACAGTCAAAGGCCAAGCTGATGTAAATGGAGAATTTCAACTTCTTAAGTTATGACCCGGCTCAAGAAAGTCAGGGTTTGTGCACAAACTCTTCTGGCTTTGTGTACGTGCTTTTGGATGCAGGGCTTTCTGTTTTAAAAGTGACTAAAAAACATTTACATCACTGAAGTAATTGCAATGATTTTAAAGATTTTTTTTTTTTTCTTGCTGGACAGTTGTGAGTGGAAACATAGCCTTTTAAAAGAGCAGGTGTAAAGTCTTTAATGGTATGCATTCAAGTGCAAATTTCAGGTTTGGAATGAAATGACCTTGTGTAAATTTGTTGTTCATCATCTGCTGTTTGCCATTAGTACGCTTTCGAACATCGAGTATCTTTGATGCAGCAGTTGATCCAATCCAGCTGAAAAATGTCACCTTCGAACATGTAAAAGGGGTAAGTTCAAAAGTAAAGTGTCTGAGTTCTTGCTTAACTAGTCATTGTGAGCCTAAAGAATGTCTTACTCTATTCAAAAAGTCTTTGTGAGCCTAAAGAATGTGTTCAAGAAGTCTTTGTGAGCCTAAAGAATGTCTTACTCTGTTCAAGAAGTCTTTGTATGAGCTGAAGCCTTTTATAGACTACTCCAAGATCAAGGAGGATTTTAACAACTCTTGTACTATTTTATATCTGTGGCATTTAATACCTTGTAAAAGATGCACTCTCGACTTGCTGAATTGCATTTATGAAGGCAAGAATAGCGAAAGGCAGTAAGTACCCATGTTAATTTGTTTTTTGCAGAAGTTGCCCAGTAGGAGAAGATGATAATACCATTTGATCATTTCTCCTGTCTTGGTTTGAGCTAAACAAAATCGATTCTGTTCAGTGATTTTTACTTTCCAGCTCAGTCTCTTCTAAAAGGCTGCATGCTCTGAGGTCAGCAGCATGTTTGTGCAGACAGTGTGTGCTACTGGCAGTGATAACACCTGATGGTTACAGTTACTGCCTGGGACTGGGATGCAGAAAGGCTCTTGCTGATACTTATTCCTGTAGTGACCAAGGCCGCTGCTGGCTCTTGTGTGCCACGCTGGGGGTGACGGGTAGTAAGAGGGGTTACAAGGAAGTAAAAGGTTGCACCTCCAGTGGGTAATAGACGGGACAGGTGAGCAACAAGAGTATTCCATTCCATGTACGTCAAATTCAGTATAAATTGAATGATCACGAGAGTTTAGGCCTCTTTGCACAATGACCGGCGTCCAAGGAGGGCTCTGTCCCATCTCTTGCTTTTGATCCGGATCCTGAGTTCCTGAATCCAGCTCTCATGTCCAGCTCCCCGCTGCTGCTGAGCCTGGGCCTTCCCCAGTGCCGCCTGCTCTGCAGCATCAGTGGGGATTGCTGTTGGGGGCAGTCAGGTGTGATACTGGACTTATTTATAGTTATATGTAGTTCTTTATTTTTATCGTTTAACTATTATTTCTATTATTGTTTCATTAAAGGTGTTTCAGTTTTCTAACCTCTAAGTCTCTCTGCCTCATTCCCTTTTCCTTCCCATTTAGAGCGTAGAGAGCATCTGTCCACATTTTAGTGGCCGGCCCAGCCCTAACCCGCGACACTCCCTTAGTACCATCTCTTTCAGGTATCTGGTATTAGGACAGGAGATACAGAGATTCCCGGAAAGAAGTGGACAGGTCACTGCTGCTGGAATAGCGTTAATTTTTCTGTTCAACTGTTCTTTAGCTGTCAGTGGCAAAATGAGGACCTCTCCCTCTCCTTCCACTTGAAAAATAGATAGAATTAGTAACTTTTTAGCTAATTAGATGATCTTGATGGAGAATTTTTAATTGATTTTGCATTTATCTTTTTTGGACAGATCTGGTCTTGAACTCTTTGGTTATTCCTTCAGTATTGTTAACTTCAGTGTTTACTGATTTGGTCAACAGCTCTAGGAAACAGATTGAGTTAAACTCATTGACACTCAATCTCCACACAAATTCTGTGGTACACTTGTATGTTCTTCTTCTGTTGTGTATTTCTGATCAATACACAATTAGACACTTAGTCTCTAATGCAAAACTTATCTACAGAAAAAGATACAGGAATTTATAAATGCTTAGCTGTATTGTGTGGTATGTTTATAATGTGTAGGTTGAAGAAGCTAAACAGGAATTGCAAGAAGTTGTGGAATTTCTGAAAAACCCACACAAATTTACTGTGCTGGGAGGTAAACTTCCAAAAGGTAAGAATTGTTGCTCATCAGAAGTGAAAATAATATGTAGTTGTGGCTACCTTGAAGCTGTGTTCTATACTGCATGACTAATTTACAGTCTGGCTTCTGAATATGTTTTCCTTTAGTTAGGGGATCAAAGAAGTATATAACCCAAATGGGCCTAAACACTACTGTTGCATTGAGTTTGTATCTCGGAAAGATCCTGGGCAGGTAGTGGATGTCCTTGTTTGTTTAAAATGATTGAGGAGTAAATGAATTTTCCAAGAGAATTGTGAAAGCTTCTTTAGGAAAGGATACCCTTGACTGAAGTATTTGGGGGTGGGGGAAGTGGAGTTTAAGGTGGTTAATGTTGGACTCTTCCTGTGTTACCTGCAGTTCCCCGTATGTAAAAATTGGTCATTACTGTCTACTCCTCCCCCAGAAAATTTGATCTATCTGAGGTATTCACATAGAAGAAACATGGATGCCTGGATACATCTTAACTTTGGTAGAAATTCAGTATTAACATTAGGGCTAATAAGTTAAGACAGTGCAAAGCAGTGAACTGTAGGTTCCAGACAAAAAGCCTTTCAAAAATGAAACCGATGTATATAACTGTTAGCAGCCTTAGTTACAGGGTTAAGAATTGGTGTTTCTTTCAAGTCCCAAGTAAACCTCTTAGAGATGGTATACTAAAATACCAACATTATATTTTAATATTGTGTTACATTTAGTGACAAAGTAGAATATTTTATGTATAATTTGTGTTAATGCCTTTTTGAGTAGAACTTTATGTGGCCTGGAGGTTTTTAGGTCTGTCTTCCTCCCCCATCCCATTTTGCCTCCTTTAACTGTTTCTATAAAGGTATTTCTTTAAAGTTAATAGCTTCCTGTCACCCATTTTTTTAATTCTGTTGGATCTTCTCTCATCTGAGAAAGATACATTAAGTTTAGTCTTTAAAACTTAACCAATATAGTTAAAAAATGTCTTTTTTTGGTCTTTTTAGGTATTCTCTTAGTTGGGCCACCTGGCACTGGTAAAACTCTTCTTGCACGGGCTGTAGCTGGTGAGGCTGATGTTCCGTTTTATTATGCATCTGGATCAGAATTCGATGAGATGTTTGTTGGTGTAGGAGCTAGTCGCATCCGAAGCCTATTCCGTAAGTTAAATTTTTGTGGTTTTTAAATCTTTTTGTGTGTCACATTAAGCATTGTTCACAAGGTTTGATTAGGTACAGTTCTGGTTACTGAAAATTAATAGTGTACAAGGCTAACAAATAAAACTTTTAAATTGTATAGGTAATTCACAATATTCTGTGAGCATCAATTAACTCTAGAATCTTGCTAGTTGTCAGATGAAATTAGAGCAAAAATTATAAATGGTGTTACAACACTCAGAGAAAATAGACATGATTTAATTAGGAATGTAATATCCTCTGAACTAAACAAAATTTTTTAAATTGTAATTTGTTTAGTGTCATATGTAAACTATTGTAAATTTGAATTATATTATGAATTTAAGATTTAAAAAGCATTAAGCTTGGTTACTTCCCTCTTTTTTTAAGTCTGAAATATTGTTTTACAGCTTGACAGTGTAGCACTTGACGCTACACTGAGATTTCCTTTCTCAAACCCATCAACAAGCTTAGAATAATGGGCATTATAATGAAAATTTAATGTTTAGGTTGATAACTTTCACAGAAGAGGCTTTGTATTTCAAGTACGCAAATAAGTATTATGGGAAGAGAGGGCAATGCAGACTTTCTCTTAAAGGGAAGATTGACAGTGTCAGACATATGCAATGTAGAAAGCAGTTGGCATTTGTAGAAGAAATGTGACTTGCTTCACATAGAAGGGATGCGAAATACAACACGTACCTTAAAATGTGCAGTTCTTTCTGTTGGCTGCAGAAGTTTAGGTGATCAACTTGTGCTTTAATTAGTCAGTGCTACAGATGTGCCTGACTGGGGCAGATGAGTTGCATACCGGTATGCATGTACCAGTTGATGGTCTTAAACTTTATTATTGCATTATTATTTTGTGTTTTTAATACCTGTAAATTGGGGGATGAAGGCTTCACTCTTAACTATCTAGCAGATTCTATTAAAATAAGATACCATTTATATCCATCATATTTCCTATTATTTTTCTTTAAGACAATATTCTCTACTCAAGCCTCTGAAATAAACCGTTGTAGGGAGTTGATACAAAATACAACAAATTTCCTTATTTTACTCTTAGTTTCTTGTAGCACGATAGGAGTAGGCTGATGTGGAGATGAAGAACCTTGCTTCTCTTTGTATCACTTAATTTCAGAAATATATTTTAATTTGTTTAGCCTAAAACCAAGACAGTTCTGGTGATGTCTAGCAGAACACTTTATAATCCAACAGTAATAGAAGTAGTAGAATTCCGGTTTACGTGATACGCTGTCGGTTGCTTTGTGTGGTTGAAATGTCCTCCTATTTTTCTTTTGTCAGGGGAAGCAAAAGCAAATGCACCGTGTGTTATATTTATTGATGAGTTGGACTCTGTTGGTGGGAAGAGAATCGAATCTCCAATGCATCCCTATTCGAGACAGACTATTAATCAACTTCTTGCTGAAATGGATGGGTAAATATATGGATTCTGAGGGCACAGAAGGTGCTTGGCTGACTAGTATTTTCGAATATTTGTGTGAATTTTTTTCCTTGACGGCTTTGATGCTTTTCCTAAGTTTTTGTAATGTTTTTAAGATACAAATTTAAAATGTTCTTATGACCACTTTCTAGGACTGCCAACAGTAGCATTAACGCCCTCATTGTAAAGAGTATAGAAGCTCTGAGCTGTGGTACCACAATAGCTGCAAGTATTTTAAATAATTTCTCAATTTTTAGAGGCCTACCTATATCTGAAGGGACAAATCAAAATCTGAGATCAGGGCATGTTTTTAACCAGTTGCTGGATTAAACAGTTCACATGTAGTTTGATAGCATGTTTTTGATTGGCCAGTAGAGGTCACCTGGAATAAGAAACAGAAGAAATTACTGACAAAAAAAGGTGTGAATTCTGTATCAAAAAAAATTTCTCTCCCTTATTCTCCATACAGCTTTAAACCTAATGAAGGTGTGGTTATTATTGGTGCAACAAATTTCCCTGAAGCATTAGATAAGTGAGTATAATGTATTGGTCATTTTTAAAGAGTGTATGTTTAAAAAAAAAAAAAGAAAATGAAACCTCTGCAACAACAAAGTTGCTTGTGATTATCTTCAGGTATTACAGTTATAGCTGGAGCTTTTCCCCTTTTAAAAAGGACATGTGTTAACCAGTGTCTGGCATTTTAAAGGTTGTTGAATTAAATATGGAAGGATAAGTAATATAGTTCTAAGTATAGAAAATTTCTGGAACATTTTCTCCTTAAATTGACCAGCTGCATTCCTTGCAATGCAGAGTTTTCAAATGCAAAAAAACCTTCAAAATGGATTGTTAATAATCATCTTTCTCTCTCTCTCTCTTTTTACAAACAGATAAGAAAAATGAATTCCTATATCTGTGCACCAGACATAGTCTATGTAGCTGTCTCTGGAAATATCAGATGGATTTTTGTTCCTTATATATGTTTTTAGCAGTTTACTCCAGCATTTTTAAGTCAATGTATTAAATTTTCTTTTCCCTTAGTGCTTTAATACGTCCTGGTCGCTTTGATATGCAAGTTACTGTTCCCAAGCCTGATGTAAGAGGTCGTACGGAAATTCTGAAGTGGTACCTTAATAAAATAAAGTATGATCCATGTAAGTAAACACTGTACTGTCACATCTTTTCATTTAACTGTTTTCATATGGGATCAGACCGCTTGTGCATTAGTACTTCACTCCATCAGCAGTTGTGGCCTTACCATGGGCCTCACTAGAGAACACAAATATTGTCTAGTGTGTAGTGTTAAAACAGTTTTCTCAGGCACTTTCGAAAGCTGAAAATTTGTTTAATGCATTATTTTTAATAGAACATGATTCTTGCTTATAGTTTGATCATTTCTTGATATTTCTTCATGGTACAAGCTCTTCTTGTGAGTAATATGGACTCTAATGACAAGTTTGTTTGTGTTTCCCCACAGCTGTTGATCCAGAAATAATTGCACGAGGCACAGTAGGATTTTCTGGAGCAGAGCTTGAGAATCTTGTAAATCAAGCTGCCTTAAAGGCAGCTGTCGATGGAAAAGATATGGTAACCATGAAGGAACTAGAATTCTCCAAGGACAAAATCCTAATGGGTAGGATTTTATAAAAAAGACGTATATGTTACAGTACACAGGAGTTTTCTTGTGTGATTAGGACTTTTACAGGGAAAGAGGGAAGTTTTTATGCTGTTACATGGTTTATTGGTGGTGTTTTGTTTGATTTAAAACAAGTCAGTCTTCTGTTAGTTAACTCCGAACAGAATCTTTTGAGATCAGAGAGTCCTACATAAGTCTAGTATGGAATACATTCTTTAAGACTTGATACTCAATTTTTTTTTAATCAGAAATGCTGCATGTTGGACTTCAGCCTAGAGGAAGACACAAGCTTTCTTACCATTCTCCTACTTGTTCCTAAAGGAAATGAGAGAATAAATGACCAAAACCAGGGAACTTGTGTTTAACTAACTTGTCATGTGATAAACAAACATCTGGACATACACACTAAAAATCTGGTCTGTTTATACCTGAGAGAAGAAACAGAATTTTCTCATGTACTTGAACTGCATTTTAAATCTATTGCTTTAGAAACAACTTCCTGTTGAGTATTTTTAGGTCCATTTTATACATTAAAATCCTACTTCTTCATGTTTTACACTTAATGAGTGTTAATTTTGCTTCCAGGCTGTTCCTAGGCTATTTTGTGCTCTCTTAGAGTGCATGTAATGTGTAGATTGTGGTGATCAGATGTACAAAACCTTTGTGATGTTTCTCTGTTTAAGGACCTGAACGTAGAAGTGTAGAAATTGATGAGAAAAACAAAACCATCACTGCTTATCATGAGTCTGGACATGCTCTCATTGCATATTATACCAAGGATGCGATGCCGATCAACAAGGCTACAATCATGACACGAGGAACGACACTTGGGCATGTGAGTATTTGTAGAATTTTATGTTAGTTTAGTGTGGCTGAGGAATTTGCCAACAATGCTATTTGGTGTAATTATGTTAAGGCATATTGGAGTATGTCAGAATTCTCAGTTATGAGCTATCTCTTGAAAAACTCACCGGTCTTTTCTGTGTGATAGAAAGCTTTCTTCCTTCATTTTGAACTAAAATAGAAAATGCTCGTTTAACAGTTCGTATATAAAAGGAAGGAAATGTAAGTACGTTTGATTTTGCTGCTGGGTGCCATTTTAACTGTAGCAGAACTTTGAAGAAAGTCTAAAAGACCAGGAAGTAGAAGCAGTGCGCAACTGTGCTTTTAACAGAAACGTACTTTGTCAAGTTGTTCTTTGTCCAGTGTGACTTATTCTAAACCTAATCAGTTACCTGCCTTGTTTCTAGCATAGGTATCCTGTTTGGTTTTTTTTTTTTCTTTTCTGCCTTTAGTTGCCAGACATTTGAACAGATAAATATTTTTATTTTATCTGCTTCTATTGAACTTAATCCAAGTTAATGTGTTCATTTCAAGAAAATCATTGTCCTGCATCATACTGACGAGACTATTTGTGCTCGGTACAAGTGTAGGCAGTAAGGAGAAGCAGATAGAAGAGGTTGTTCTATTTCTTCTGATGGTAGCTTTAAGTTGCTTAATTTTATGTGGTGCTCATGGCCTGTGAGAGATTATTTCAGCTGGTAGACTAAGCATCTCCAAAGCAAACCTGATGAGTGCATACACTGGGAGAAGGCCTAGAGCATTTCTCTCTGCTTTAGATATAAACAAGAATATTTTTCAGATTATTTCAGTGTTTCTTCTGTTTATTGTTACTTGACCACAGTTCTGTATCTTACAGGTATCTCTGCTCCCAGAAAATGACAGATGGAGTGAAACTAAATCCCAGTTGCTTGCACAGATGGATGTCTGTATGGGAGGCCGAGTAGCAGAAGAGCTCATATTTGGAACTGATCACATCACAACAGGTCGGCTGATGGATAGTTAAAAGAACTTTTGAGCAACACCAGTGAACTGGCGTGTTTAACTTGGTTTTGGTAACGTAATTCAAATCTATTTGCTCTCTAGGTGCTTCCAGTGATTTTGACAATGCTACTAAAATTGCAAAACTGATGGTGACTAGATTTGGAATGAGCGAGAAGGTAGTACCTTCAATCCTTAAATATTTATATAGTACCAAAAAAAATTATCTGTTCTGTAAAGATATGCCTATTTGGCTGTCAGTGATTACAGAGACTAAATAGTTCTGGCAAAAAAGTAAGCCTTATGCCAGGCCCTGCTGTAGTGAACTCAACTAGAAAACTTGACCATTTAAAAGTTGAGTTGCAAGATCTTCACCTGAAAATTACCTTCAAAGTTACTAATGTTTCCAGAAAATGTTTACAATAAAATAAAATATTTTGGAATTGATGATAACCTCGGGTTTTGAGGGGGGGACATGGCAGCACTGAGTTTTCTAGACTTCTAAGCAACTTCTTCAGTCATCTTTATTACCCATCACATGTTAGTAGTCTAGGGTTTTCTTTTTTAAATAAAATGTTTAATCGGATCTATGCTGTGATTTCTGCAGTGACTGCAGGGTTGATGAATAGGCTTTGTGCATTGCAAGCACTTCAGCGAGGATTTGGTTACTGATTTGATTAGTTTGCATATAGAAGCAATAGGTGATGCAACTTTTACAGTGTTTTATGCATATTGCTGCAGCAGTAGCAAGATAAGGATTTGGTTTTTTGTTGTTTAGCTTGGTGTTATGACCTATACTGATACGGGGAAAGTGAGCCCTGAAACTCAGTCGGCAATTGAACAGGAAGTAAGAACACTTCTACGGGTAAGACTTTCCTGCTCCACCGAGATAACATTTATTTTGAGATGAGTTGAGCATCAGCTTGATTGTTCAATTTGGTGATGTGTACTGGGGAAAATACACATGTGGTATGGAAGGTATTCCCAAGTATTTAATGTAGCTGCAACTTTTAATTTCTGCATATCAAAACTTTTTGGTGATTGGTGAGAAACAAGGTGGTAGTGTTGGGTTCTTTAACATCTACCCCAATGCTGCTTCTTACATTTGGTCAGGATTTGTATTTTGCCTGTTCAATTCATAGAAAGAAAATGTATGGCTATAAATTGTTGTAGAGCAGATGTGAATGTTCTGTTACTCCTGTTATTTCATAACTTATGTCTGCCTAATTTTGCATAGAATCTCAGGAATGGCCATACTGGATTAGAAAGTTGTCTTTTTTCGAGTATCCTGTTCCTCATGATGATCAATATCAGATACTTAGGGAAATCTGTAAAATTCAGTAATCACAGAACTTCCAGATCATTGTTCTGATAATCTGAATTAGTTTGGTTCAGGCAGGAGAATTATTTATGTCATAACATTTGAATGTTATGCCGTAGCTTTTTTTAACTTACTTGGTCATGTAAGAGCTAGAACTAAAAAGTTAAAAATTGAAGCAGATAATGCTGTCCGTGTTCATCTACTTGCAGCAACTGGTAGCTTGTTGGGTAGCTTTCAGCTTTTTATAAAGTACATAGTACTTAGAGTTTTTAAAGTTTTACAAAACTTTAGTCTTTGGGGGATGGTCCTTGAATGCTATAGTGCTGCTCATAACATAAAATCAGCAACTTTTCAAATCTACTAAGTCTTTTCTAAGTCATATGTAAAAATACTACAGTTCATTTCAGGATTTTGAGTCCTGCTTTTACAAAATGCAAAGGTGGCGTAAAGTTTGAGTGGGTTTTTGTTTTTTTTTTTGATTAATTGTACCAGCTAGAGTTTAAATCTTTGTGAGACAGGACCTGGGCTAGCTATGAAATGAGGGCACAACTTTAATGTTCGTTTCAAGCTGTATGTACCTCAAAGTAATTTCTGAAGTGGAATTTTGCTGTTGTTTTTGTTCTAAAGTCTTAAAATCCCCTTCCACTTTTTTTTTTTTTTAATGCTAGGACTCTTATGAGCGAGCAAAGAACATCCTGAAGACTCATGCAAAAGAACACAAGAATTTAGCAGAAGCTTTATTGAAATATGAGACTTTGGATGCCAAAGAAATCCAAATTGTTCTAGAGGGAAAGAAACTAGAAATGAGATGATAACTTCTGGGATACAGTTCCTGATAATTTGAAGAATGTACATCTCTCAGTGTTTGAAGAATGTACATCTAGCAATGCAGTAGTCTTACGCAGCATAGTCTTTTTTCCCTTCCTGCTGTGTGTATGGCATAGTGACACTTTATTATTCTGTCTCTTGTGAGCTTCTGTTACTCATCTATTTGTTGTGTCTCATCAGAACAAGACACACAAAATAAAGCAAGTTCCTCATCCTCTGCTCCCTATGCTCTTTTCCCAAGAAGTTATTTGGAAGGATAAATCTCAGGGTTGAATTTGGTGTTTTGGTTTAGTCAAATGCGTTGAAGCTGAGAAGAAAAACGTGCAGGTAACACTGGTGTGTTTTGGCATAGTTCCCTGGGTCACGCTGCTACTTGTGTGTTTGAAGTGATACCCCACAGCGTGTGCTATGGAATGTTTTATGAACAGCCACAGACTGATTTGTCAAACAGTAGTGTGTAGTCTGATGCTCATGCTCTGAGGCTAGAGATCACTTTTAAAGACTACTACTTATTTAGAAATTTAACAAAACATCTATAAGAATGAAGCGGCTGCACAGTGCATCTCTATTACTGGGAGTTGTGGGAGCTCCATGTTAGACAAAAACATTAATGATTGTGTTTTCACTACTCTTGGGGTTAAAATAGACATGTGTGTGGCTGGGAGAGAAATGTTAATGCAAAACCAACAGGCTAAACCTGTCTAAGCCTCCTAGGACCATATTTTGGGCAGAACCATGGCAGGGATAAGAAAAATAGATACCTGTGACCTCTGATGTGCTGCTGACAAGATTCTTAGATTATTTTTTTTGTTGTTTGTTGTTACTACTGCAGTAGATGGGTAACAGTGCTTTTACACTGCTTGGAGATTCTACAGAACTAGTTTCTACTAATATGATGTATGGGCGTTTGATAATCCAAGAGATAGTTTCTTCAGAGAGGGCAGTATTGCTCACCGAAGAGTAGTTCAGAAAACATCTGAAGCACGTGTTGTTTCAAATAACATTCCTAGTTCTGTTCTACAGTAGAAGTAGGGAAATAAAACCTTTTCTTTCAACCTTTACAAAAACCTCTGGAAATTCTAAGATAAAGGTTTTGAAAACAAAAGCAGTCTCCAGTCAAGTGATTGCTAGCAATTACATGCCAGTATTCTTCTGATGTCATGGAACTGTTTTTTAGGAATAACTCATCTTAATCATAATCCATCTGCACAATTAATTGTCGACTTTTGGGACTTCAAACTTCTGTTGTGGAGAGCGCCTTTATTAGCGTATTAACACTGAAGGTTACCATACTTGGACATTAAAATAGTTGGGCTGGTGCCAATAAATGTGAATGGAAATTGGTAGCTACACTTAAAATTAGAAGTAACGTATTTTAGAATTTTCTGAGTGTAATGCTTGATTATAATCTAGTTTTTTAGTAAGAGCATATGCATTTTTTTTCCCCTTTCAAATCCAGGATAACTTTCTATTTGCCTATTTTTGTCAGCTTACTATAGTGACATCCCAGTGCAATGTGGGAGAACTTCCAAATATTATAAAACCATATACCAAATGTTTAGGCTGACTAGTTAGAGTTGTACATGTATTTTTTGGGAATATGCCAACATATTTCGCATCTGGTTTTGGACTAATAAAGGTTAATTTTAATTATGCATATTTGTTTTCTTTTTATTCATTGTAAATTGCTATAAAATGTAATACTAAGTTACCTACTATGTAAATTGAGGTGTATAAAACATTTAAACTTGTAAATAAATTTAAGAGTAATGCCAAAATTGCACTCTCTCTAATTAGATTTCTAGGGATTGTTCTCCCTAGAAGTTCAGGCTTTTTTTCAGTTGCTGCTTCAGTAGTGGGACTTGAAGGAGAACTTTTTTAGCTAATTAATGTGAATCTGCATTTAGAAACAAAAACAAAGAAACTTTTCACTTTCGAAGTCACTGAAGTTTGCATTGAATGATCTTGTTTAAGGGGTAAGACCTTGAGGTCCGATTTCTTTTTCCCATTCAGAAGCTTCTTGCTATATGCAAAGAAGTGAGCAGAGTCTCAACAAAAAAAAAGAAAAAAAAAAGTGGTATGTCATTGGGTCATGAAAGAAGACTTAGAAATTAACCATCAAGTGTAAAAGGTGTCTTTGCTGTTAATTTGGCCAGAAGGCAGGGGTGTTACTGAAGAATTTACTGTGCATGTGGTATCTGTGGGGTTTCAGAGAAATTTGTCTGTTGAGGCACTGGCGTTTGAACTTGGGTTTAACCTCAGATGACAACTAAGCACGACCCAGCTGCTGGCCCATTTCCCCCCATGGTGACACAGGGAGAGAATCTAAAGAATAAAGTGAGGAAATTTGTGGGTTGAGATAGAGACAGTTTTTAATAGGTAAAGCAAAAGCTGTGTGCACAAGCAAAGCAGAACAAGGAACTCACTCAGTGCTTGCCTTGGGTAGGCAGGTGTTCATCTCCAGGAAAGCAGGGCTCCATCACACGTCACCATTACTTAGGAAAACAAACAGTCACTCCAAATATCCGCCCCGTGCTTCCTCCTCCTTCCTCAGCTTTATATGCTGGGCATGATATCATATGGTGTGCGATATCCCTCTGGTCCCTTGGGGTCAGCTGACCCAGCTGTGACCCCTCCTAGCTTTTCGTGCACCCCCAGCCTACTTGTTAGTGGGGTGGGGTGAGGAGCAGAAAAGGCCTTGACTCTGTGTAAGCCCTGCTCAGCAGTGATGAAAACATCCCTGTGTTATCAACACTGTTTTCATCGAAAATCCCAAGCACAGCCCCCTACCAGCTACCCTGAAGAAAATTAACTCTGTCGGAGCCAAAACCAGCCCATGGTGCCCTTAGGACCTGAAATTCCTCCTCACATAATCACTGGCCACAGGAGGATACAAAGGCAGCTTCCGAACACCAGCCAGGGGCTGAGAATGACCTCAGTTCCCTTGTAAGCTGTCACAGATGGAGTGATGCACTTCACTCATAAGAGAGAAGTAGCACTATTTTTATTGATAGAAAATGGTGATTTATCAAAGTTTGTTAATAAGTGTGACAGCGGTTTAACCAGATTTGATGGCAAGGTACACTTGATTATTTACTGCATAGAGGACAGGGTCAGGCAAAACTGTCAGGGAGACCCTCCCGTTGAGTCATGAGGTTCAGAAAGGAACCCCCTTACGTTCCAAACTCCTCCTCAGATGAGAATTTAGGTGCTCCTGGATCCAGAATTGGTCAACGGTTTTATGACTGAAAGGATTCTATGTGCATGTATCCTTTTTATCACTTACCTAAGATTTTAAAGTTTCGGCACACTTACTCCCAATTCACTTACTGAGTATCAAACATGATAGGGGCTCTCTCAACCATGTGAGGTGTCACTACCCAGGGGGAGATCCTAGTGTGCAGCCCACAGCTGTGCAGGAGAGCTCAACAAGCCCTGGGCTGCCCACTATTTATGGAGTAAGAAAAATTACTTGGTCACATTCATATACCAGCTGTATTTCAGTTGGTACGTGCTCAACTAGTCCGCAGCTACTGTCATATTACCTGTCTCCCCCAAATCCACCCCCAAACCCACTTGGAGCCAGTTGGAGCCATCATGACCAGATGCATCTATTAACGGTCAGCCACTGGTGGTTATGGGGCAAGGGAGGATCTACTTCCGTCAGAATCACAGAATGGTTTGGGTTGGACATGACCTAAAAGGCTCAGCGTTGGGCTGAGTTACAGCACGGAGATAAACCAGTAGGAAGTGCCAACGGGTGGGAGTTGTTCTGCCCCCCTGCATACATTGCCTGACAAACCTCTAACCTAGTCCATTAAGCTGATGCAGTGGTCAGTGTTTGCAATAATTTTAATAAATTCAGTAAACAAGTAAAAAAAAAAATATTTAACAACATTAAGGTGCTAAGCCAAACACAAAAATGAGAAACGTAGATCCACCCTGTGCATTTCATTTCTTCTTTTAGTTTTCTTGCCTGGCTTTTCTGAAGCCTTTGCTTCTCTCTTCCGTTTCTTTTTTTGTCATTCATTTTCTTACATTCCCTGAAAATCGCTGCATTTTAATCTACACACAATAAATATATATTACATTTAGCTTAATCATGGACAATCTTTATCATTTCTAAAGATCTCTATGTTTATAGGTTTTGTATTGTGGGGTGATCTGCCAAAGTTTCCAAAAAAGGTTAAAAACACTGGAATAAAAATAAGACCGTGAAGAGCCCCAAACAAGATGACAAGGAACATGATCTTAAAAAACGTCCTGAAGATGTAGGTTTTTGCTGCAGCCAGGACAACTACTCCTAATATAGTAGAAACTGCACCTTGTAACACCGGGTAACCTAGTAGGGACAGAGCTCCGACTGCCCTTTCATTGGCTGATGAGCCTTCACTCGTCACAAAGGCGTAGGAAATATGAGCAGAAAAATCTACTGAAAACCCTATACAGATGACCAGGTTGATCATGGATATGGAATCTAGATTGACATTCCAAAATGTCATGAAACCAGCAACACCAACTATAACAGAAGCTATAGCAAAAGTTACCCACAAACAACACAACGGGTTGGGAATAAGCAAAAGGGAGACAACGAGCATTGCCCCGGCGGCAGTGACAACATTCTGCACGGTGTTCTGCACAATTACCAGGTACTGATCGTAGTAGATGAACGCTGGGTGGTAAACCATTAATGGAATACTGCACTGCTCAGCTGTCTCTCTTAACTGATTGAGAAGATTCTTCTCATCAACAGCTGAGGTCACATTCACCGTCTGGATGAAGAAACGTGAAGCTTCTATTCTATCCTGAGTCTTGTCAATGTCCCACTCAAAATCAGGAACAATTCTGAACAGTGTCATTAAGTTATTAATGAAGAGAGTCTGAGTGCTTATATTTATCAAACCAGCGTTTGCAAGTCCTGTGTATACTCTCAGCCATGACTCTGAGAGGTTCTTATCTACATAGGAAATGCCCTCTAAATTCTGTGTGCAGTTCTCAAGGCCAAGACGAACCGTTTCATTCCAGTAATCTACACTTGCAGTAACAACAACCATGATCCTGGGCCCATATGCTGAGAAGTACTTGTCGTCGGCATCGTAGTATGGAATAACGTAAGAGTTGTCACTTGCCA